ACGTTTGTCACATACTAAATATGTCGATCTTTATACATATTTTTTCCTCTTCGTCTGGTGTAAGAAACATGACTATACGTGCTGTCACATCAAACTAATATCTGCGTTTAAGTGGATTTTAGTGTAAAAAGCCGTCATTTCAGCCACATTGAAATTGATTCAAATTGACAAAGGAGAAGAATATCATGTGCAATTATATATTTGTCAGACGATTTATTTTCTTTAATAATTGTTTTTTACGCTATATTGGTTGTTATACATTTTTATAAGACTATGTTTAATTAAATGATAGACTGTTTCATAACACTACGCCCAATTTACCGATTTGTAGTTTTAAAATAATAATAAGCTTATTTTATTAAAATTAAAAAAAATTAAGAACTAACTTTAGGTACAGAAATAATGCATCTATCATTATCATTATTCATTCAAATGTAATATAAATTTCCGATATCATAAATAAAAAAGTACAATCTAAATACTTTTCACTAACAAATAAGTTAATTAATTAATTTACTATAAATTATCTATCAAACCATTGATCAAGAACATTGGCAAGAAAATAATTCGTCTGTATATGTTGAATAAATTAATGACAAATAAAAGGTATGTGCTTTACTTAATCGATAGCTTGCGTCAGCTTCAAAACACTTTATTAGTGCTTTTAATTACTGGATGACAATATATATATGTACTACATATATATATATTATATAGATACTTTAAAACTTCACATTTACATCAAAATGTAAATTAAGGTTGTATAATTATAAAGTGTTGTTCAATATTTTTGCTTTATTGTTCATAAATTTATTTATTTTCATATCTTCAAAATGATATTGAGCCTTATGAGGTAAAAAGATATCTTTGAACTAATAAAATATTTATACAAAAACCATAATAAACTTTAAGAGTATTAGAAAAGAGAGTAGCCTTATCTAAACGAAAGTGTTCATGTTCGTATCTATATATACTTTTTTAACTTAATCTGACCCACAAAAGCAAAATGAAATGACATTATACAATAATAGGCAGTTCATTTTTAAAATTAATATAATTTGTTATTTTATGATACACAAATGGATAAAAAAAGCAAAATTTAATTAAGTTAAATTATTGTTAATTTTCATAATAATAAAAATTTAAAATATTGTTGTTGGTCACAAACCAATTAAAAATCAAACACTTTTTCGAAAATTTTAGCAATTTCGTATTGTATTTTTAAAATACTATTTAAATCAAAGTAATCAAAGTTATCTATCTTAATTAACTTTTGTTTTAAAATACATCAAATAAAAAATTTTTCTAACTTTTCAACAGAAAATCTCTCATGACAAACATATTAAATTTATATTAAAATGTATAAAAATAACTACATTTAAGATTGTATTAATAACTTTGAATATAATCAACCTTTGATATAATATAACCTTTAAGTTTGATATAATAAATAAAATTTCAAAGCAACTTTTAATATAATTTTATTATTTTTCTTAATCATAATTCAACTGGTTATCAGTTCTTCTATTAAATCTTGTAAACAAGGCAACCTTAAGATTAAATTGGAAAACTTTTATTTGCAATACTTGAGTTCACTTTTTATCCTTTCTAGTAATGATTTGCTTAAATTTTGGAAATTTTGTATACATTGCCTACCTTAAAAAATTAATGGTTAAAATTAAAATTGAAATTAAAATTTCTTATTCCTTATAGCTAAAAGTTTACAAGTTCCCAGTAGTTAAGTATTGAGTTTATAGTAAAAAAAAAACAAACCTTGTAAACTTTTAAGTAAATATGCATACATACATACAAACATACTTCTAAACAAATTCTAATATTCATAATCCTTTTTTCTATGTTTCACAGAATGAAGTGGCATTTAGGCCTCAAGGGCTTTCCCTCAAAGTTATAAATCCGTCGTCAGTAATTTTACCAGTTTTTTTGCCATTGGCTGTTTTGTATTGCTAATTTAAAATTGACCACAGAAAAAGTACACCAAGTGCCAGGTAAATATGGCACACAATTTAGCGACAGAAGTAATTTACAAGAACTTTTTTAACGACTGATCAACACAAAATTTCATACACCCTACGTGTTTTCTTATAAATTAAATATTTTCTTAAATGGGTTTCATATAAAGATTGTGGCATTCGATTCACCAAAAAACTTTTTTCTATTTAGTTACTTAGTTATCTGTAATTTCAGATCCTAGGCGCTTTTTATATTGTCTCATGAATATTTTATAGGTTATATATAAATATTATTATACGTAGGTTTTATTACTTTCCTTCATGATAAAAATTGTATATTATAACGTATGATTAATGATCTAACATCTAATGATACTTGGAAATAAAAACTATAAAAAAAAATTATCTTATATGTTTATATAGTTTCGAAAAAGATCCATAGTTTTTTTAACTCCCTTTTTTTCTATTTAAAAATACTGTTTAAAAAGAGAAATCTCTTATAATATAGTTCAGGTGGAACGTAATGAACCGATTTTTAAAATAAAAACTATACGGAAAGTTTCTAGCTCCACAAAAAAAAAAATAGTACAATAACGAGCTATATCAGTTGATAAATATAGTCGTCATAATAGTATTATTGACAGCTAATTGTTAATCAAATCCTTTATTATAAAATCAAAGCTGGTTTAAAAATGCAGAACGAAAACTGAGGAGCTAAACCGAATAGCTGATATCAGTTTTATTTAAGTTCCTAGATGTAGAAGTATTGAATGGAATAAAAAAAGAAAAGTTTTCTTATTCTTAAGATTCTTAAGAAAAATACATGCATCAAATTTATGTGTCTTCAAATGGAAGATCATGTGTAACTTTTCCGTTTATTTGTCTTTATATAACAAGACTCTTTAACTCATTAAAAGAACCGCGTAATTATTATAAAGCTTAGTGCAGTTCGTTTTGTTCAATGATGTTTAGGAATCCACGCCGAGAAACTTTGTATTCCTTCTAATATTTACTGTAGAAGTTGTGAAAGTATAGACAAAAAGAAAACAACTGTCCAGCTTTGGCTTCCACAGAAAACAGTGTTTTGAGAATGCACTTTTCTGACAGCTTGACAGACTGGTCAACAGTAAGGCCGAAAGATCTGGACTGAGTGTTCTTTTCTCGCTTTAGATTTCTTGCGAGAAATGTGGTAATACAACAGTGATGGTAATGCAAGTCGCTAATTATAGGCAGCGGAAGAACATCTGTGGATCTATCACTGCAACCAACCAAAAATTTAAAGAGTTAAGAATAAAATTAACTCATTATATAAAAAAAATGATAAAAGTCAGAATACAGTGTAGTTAATGGACAAATATGTACTTACAATTTACCATTGAACAAGATAACAGGAGAACCACGCAGAATATAATTAGAGTGAGATACAATAAGTAGCTTAGACTTAGAAGCTATAAGACCAGTTACTGTAACATAAATAATTAGAAAATTTTTTCCATATTTCCTCAAAAATAATTTTTTCCTTTTGTAAGAAATAATTATTTAAATATATATAAACCTTAATTTTCTTCTTAAAAATCATTTCAGAATACACCAACCATGTGTAGGGCATTCTGCTGATTTGCTCATAAAAGTCACTCCAAAAAATCTTTCAAAGTAATTCAGTTTCAGTTTTGCTTCAGCACCTAAATGAACTTCAAATTGTACTTCAGATTCAGTCGCTGATTATACAATAATTATGATGGCAAAAGTTTTTCACTTTGTAAAAGGATTTTGATTCATTCTCCCCTCGTTTTGGCTCTTCTTAGGTATGGAAATATAAATGTAAATATTGACAAAATGCTTTCATAATTATTTTGTACATGAATTAATGCAGCTTTAAATATGTTTGTACTTCAATTCACGAAATTACAAAATTCTAATTTAATGAAACTGACAAAAATTTTGTTTCATTTATTCCCCTCCTAGACAATTCTTGTTATCCTTAAAATAAATGTTGGCCTTGAAAATATTTTAAATTACTTCCAAAGGAATTAAGAGCTTATTAAATAACAATTATCAAAATTATATTAATTAAAATAAAATCACTGAAAGTGTTTAATATAATAAAAAACAGGTATTTAAAATTAATATTTAAACAGTTATTTTTTGTAATTTTAAAGAAAAATATGTAAAACTTAATATGTAAAGCATTGAGGATTGCTTGATACATTTGATATATATATTGAGTCCTTAAACTCCTAGGGGAAGAATAGGCCCGCAACAAAGATCCTTCACTCGGTACGAATGTTGGTTAGTAGCTCCAACTCTCTCTAGCTTTTCCGCACGTGTAACATTTCCATATCAACTTGCCTTCTTTAAATGTGTGCAGATCAGCTCCTTCTTCTGTTACCCAACGGGCTTCAATCAATGGTCATTCTTGTGGTGTCACCAGTTAGTCTACACAAAGTGTGACCGACCCAGTCCCATTCTTATAGGTGTTTGTTGAGTTAAAAACCATAAATATTTTAACAATTTTGCGTAATGACTGATTTACGAAAACTTGATGCCGTTTGCCGTAGCATTCCAAGATTAACATCAATATAGTAGGCAAGATTTTATGTTGGAGTTAAATATTTGTGTTTTCCAGACTTAATTTAACCTACCAAACGCTTGTTTTGGCTTCTTAATACGCTTCTCGATGTCAGTACTGGATACACCATTTATTGATATGATGCTTCCAAGATAGCAAAAAGACTCTACATCCTCAAGACAGCAGTTGTTTATAATAAAAGGATCTTGAACGTTAACATTTTGTTTTGGTAGCATTGATTTTCAGTCCCTCTCTGTTTGTCGAGACATGTCACTGTATCTGTGTGCCAACAGATATTTGATATATAGATTATATTGCTACAAATTACAAAAATCGTTTATTTGTTATTTAAAATTATTATTTGTTGTCAATTATTTAATAACAATAATTAACAAATATTAAAATCAATTTTGTGATGCTAAAAACAAAATATTTAATAAAATACCAAATATCGAACATACCTCAACAAATACGGGTAAAATTTTAATATTGACTCCATAAGTCGAAACTTGTATATTCATATTTATGGAATTATAGGACTACTTACCAACCTATCGCACATAAAAATTTTAGTAGATTGTTTCCAGCATGTTTACTTTTAAAATTATTATCAATTATTTTTCAATTTGCAAAATAAATTTGTAAACTTTATTAAAAGTTAAACTTTGCATTGAAAATTATTTGTTTCTATATAAGTTATAAATTTCAGTATCGGCATTTAATTATTTTCGATAAAATGTTGGTGCACGGAGGAATTTTAGAGGAGACGCATGTCACCGCACTTTTGCAAATTTTGAGTAAGGAGTGCCTTTGGCCAAAATTTATATAAAATTTTAAAACATTTTTACGAGTTTCTTAACTGCAGTTGGCAATTACTTTGGGAACTTGTACTCGGTATTGATAGTACACAATGCCACGTCGAATGCAGCAAGCAATCTGCAGCTGGAGTACCTGAACGCTGTGCAGTTAGCATTTCGAAATCAATCTCAGCATGGAAAGATAATTGGTGTACAATGGATCGATGTTGCCAAACTGAATCACATGGAGTTAAATGCACTTACACTGCATGCTGTTGACATTTCAACTGAGGTAGGACAAAACTGCAATTGTAAATAGTAAAAATTTAATTTTAAAAGAATTTATTCTTTTCACCTTATAAAAAACTGCAGGGATTTATAACGATTTTATCAAATACAACTTTTTTCTTGCATAGTCGTTATTATGCAACTCGTAATGCTGAACTTCGCCTTAAGGATAAATTTTATCTTTTTTTGTGCGAGAATGAAAGTCCTGAAAAAATGTTAACAGCTGAAATATTACAATGTAAGTGTACCTTGAAGCAATATTGGTAGAAAACATTTTAACCAGATATCAAAAAATTATACTCATGTTTAAAGTTATATTCTTATTTTCAAGTGAACATTCTGTCTATTTAAAAAAGGGTATATATTAGTTAAATACATACAACTCAAAAGTATATGTATAAATAATTAATATATTAATGTGCCTCTTATTTTTCTTTATGCAAAAGTTTCCAATTATTTTTTTTTTTTTTCAAAAAAATTAGCATTTTTTTTATCACCAAAAAATTAAGGTATATCATTTGTTTAATTAAATAAAATAATTTTTAATGTTTTTTAAATTTTTTGTAACTTTTTTTAATTTTTTTCTTAATTTTTTTATTAGAATTAAGAATTGTTTTGTTTTTATTTTTTAAATAATTTTTAATTATCTTTTGTTTTTTATTAATTTTCTTTTTTTTTTAAATTAATTTTTTGTTAATTTTTTATTTTTTCACGATACACTTACAACCAAATATTTTAATTTTAATAAACAGTGCGATGCGCTTACCATCGAAACCGTATACCTATTTGACTTAGCATATCAATCCAACAAATCTGTTATTTGTTAAAGATCAAACTAACTTTAAATTTCTGCTCACTTAATCAGAAAATTATAATAGAGTATGAATGAAAACGGATTTTGCATTTTCAGTCAAGGAAATAGCTACTGACTCTTTTCGTTAGAGCTTGTCTCCAGTGACTATTTTACTTTCCAAATTTGTAGACTTAACTCGGTTCGCAAAAATTTTCGTTGAATAGAGATGCGATAATCCCTGCCTAAATAGATATTTTTAAGACCTTCATGCAATTACATGAGGTTACACAAATTGCTGCATCATTGGGAAAGTATACCTCAAAAAGACAAGACTATATGACTATGCCGAAAAGAAGGAAAGAACTATATATTATAGAACGTTCGTTTATTTTTCAAGCACATATTTTTTACTAATATCTATAATATAGCTATAAGGTTAAACTAACAATAGACTTTATAACAAGCATCTATCAGAACGTTACGTTTTCCTGTTAATGTTAATAAGATGGGATCATCTAGTGCATTAATATTTTACTATTTTTATTATTTTATTATTTTATTTTTATTATTTTTATTAATATTTTATAAAATTTGACACGTACACTCCTGATTCAAAAGTTACACTCATTGCAATTTTTAGTATTCGTTTCGAACCGCCAAATCTGGGTTTTTTAACAATGAAACTCCAGCTTCTTACTAAAGCTGAGTAATAACAAGAAGGTTTAGACCTTATTTTGGCATAGGATTCAATGAAATTTAAATATATATATAGAATATTCTATATGTATACGATATTCTGTAATCTATAAATCAATAAGAATAGATATTTTCTTCTGTTTAAATATATTTATAAATAACCATAATATGTATTATAACTGGTATTGAAGAAAATATGTTATAACACCATATAGTCATTCATAACAATTATTTTCATTTTCAATAATATATTTAGAAGAGCCACATATCTCTAAATTCGAATATAAAACAAATATGTGAATATCCTAAAACACTACTATCAGAACCATAGTATAGCCATTCTAATTGATAACCAGGTAGTTAAAAATGGTCTTAATTCTCATCAGTTGACATAAAAACTTATATTGGAATGTATTAATAATCTTAATAATCTTTAGCCAAAATAATCAAATATGGATCTTATGAGTTCCTAGTACGCTGGAATTTCTTACGAGAAAATACCAAACTTGCGCGCAATCATTCTGGTGACGAAGATTTTATCTTCAGACCCATTTGGAAAAAGAGTACGCACTCATAATAAAGAACTTCATTAGTAGAATCTGCCAGAGCTTTCAAATTTGTAATCGCTTATAGGCACTTTCATCCTGAAACGGTTTAAGGATTTTATAAAACTAATTAGAAAATTAACAGAATCATTATTGGAATTCTGATAGGATGGAAATATAGGGCAAACTATCATCCTAAAAACCTAAAAAGTTATGCTTATAGAACTTATAGGTATGGTAGGAGAGAGAATGAAACCTCAAAATACATGCTGACATATTTGATTTGAGATATCAGATGAAGACATTACACTTAGTAGTATAGGTTCAATACTAAAATTTTGAAACAAATTTGGAATTGAAGATATACTTTTAATCCATTAAGAGCGCAATATAGATCTCTACATGAGAGTGCGAAATCCCGAACAGAATAATATCTAAATTAATTAGAGCACCAATTAGTTTTTTGACTTAATCTTTTAAAAATTAATAGACCAATTAATTTTTAAATGTTTGTAAGTTAAATAAAAATTAAAACAAAACAAAAAATATCAGATTTTTCCAAGTGATTGTTTATATGCAAATGAACAAACTCTTAACAATTTAATTTCTTGCCACGTAATTGAATAAACAAATTAATTTCAAGGATGTTTTAATGCTACCAATAACACACATCAAAGCCAATTTATTGAAATGAAATTCCGACAAAATTCTCACACCTTCAAAAGTAGACTTTGTAACACAAATGCTAATTAAATGACATTACTAATCAAACTTAAATTAAATTACCACCAAAGTGACTTCGGAACGACTTTCTAAATTGACACTCAACATTCACTGAAAATGCTTAAAAGAAGATAGAAAGTAAAACAGAATCAAAAAAAAAAGCAAAAAAAAAAAAGAAAATAAATAAATTCAAGAAAAACTTTCTCCAACTTTAACGTTTTCGGAAAAATATCTCCGCTCGTCTGCGTTTCGTTCAATTTAAACTTTTACTACTTAATTTGGTTTTCAACCACGATTGTCATTTCATTTACTCCCACTGCCTTCACAATCACCACACACCCTACATAACCAATACGTAGTCTACCCACATCATCTTATGATCGTACCGACAACAACAAAATCAAGATACCCATTAAATGGTATTGCCACACCGGAACCGGAAGAGGAACTTGAACCAAAACCAACACAAACAACTAAAATAACAAAAGCAACATTAAATAAATATCCAAAGACTACCTTCACCACTGCCACTTCCATTGCCACCATCACCACTAGCAAGCTTACCTTGAACAGCGTTGAGGCGCAGTTAAAACCAACATGGGGGAATACCCAGCGCGACTTCAACTTGGAATTGTGGACGCAAAAGTTTGTTGGTTCTGTTGGTAATTTGGATGCTGTGCCACTGGACGCATTCTTGCCGAACAAAACTTTTACGAAAAACGTCGAACTTTATCCAAACAAAGTTACAAATCTGAAGGGTCGCACACTGCGTGTTGGCTCGATTACATATATACCTTATGTAGTTACTAATTATGTGGTAAGTAATTCCAGTTAAACTTATATTTATTGCTATAATGCCAACACTCGCACTTACTCGCATACACAAATTCACATCAAACTAAGCAGTGTCCTGTAGTCCTGTAGTGATGAACGTTCATATATATATGTGTGTATATAGTATAGTATAGTTGTGTAAGGTATATTTACAGTTGGGACAGACAAGCCATAAAAGATGTAAACACATGTTGCGGGTTAAGTTTATGGTTATTTTGTTATGTTTTGTTTTTGTTTAAATGCTGACTTCGTCATTTTTGTTTTGGTTTTTGTCCTTAGATTATTTTTTTGTCTCTATGATGTTTGTTCTGCTTTTTATGCTACAGTTCAGACATGTGGTAACTTAGTTTTTAATTAGGTCAACCAAAATTAACCCATGGATTAGTTAGAAAATCAAAACTGTATCAAATTTCATCAATTCAATTATTTTATATTTTGCGTCTTACTCTCTATGAATGTGGATTTAATGGTGGTTGGTAGCAAGTAGAATCATAAATACTTCCTTTGGGTACCCTTCATATGATAAACAATAATAAAACCTGGCAATCTACACCACTTTTACAGTAAAACCCTTTTTCCTGAAGTATGACAAAACCGATGTCAGGAAATCTTCCATACGTCACTTGAATTCTCTTTGAATTTTTTGTATATCCTGTAAAAATTTTGTATTTATAGAAATAATTCTCTTGGACTTAGAAGAAAGTTGGAAAGGTTTGTTCACTAAAATACCACCTTACAAGACTGGGTATACATACAAATGCAAACAGTAGATTCTGCGAAGATAATGAAGAGAGATGGAATAGACTCTTGGAATTTTTATCGACGTAATTGAGCTTAGAGACTTGCTCTAAACCCAAAGGAGACACAATAGGCCCCCTTCTATTGTGGTCGCAGTGCAACATCGCATGGCAATATTAGTAATAATAAAAGAAGTTTGTAAAAAGTCGTTTTTATGTGAGGTATAACTTTTAATTATATTAATTTAGAGTCCAAGGACTAGTCCTATTCCTTCTCTAATAGAATTTTTAATAGAAAGTCATACCCTTTATTTCTGCGTACCATTTTTTCATTGTTTATATTTACGATCATTTGTGTTCTCTTGCAAAAGACACTTACATATGCTTCAAAATTTTTTTTTTGTATTTTCAAAGTATATAGTAATATATATCAGCGTGTCATATTATTATTATTAAAGAAGGGATTGTGCACTGCGACCTTAATGATCTATTGTGCCCAGCGTGTTATATAAAAATAATTAAAAAATAATACTATATCTCAAGTTCTAGAATACATATATTATGTTTTCATAATATATATCACAAGCTAATATCATTTTTTTAAATTTAATGCAGGAACCATAATCAATATAATCACAAATAAACAATGTATGATAATTTATTTACTACTATTATAGTACTATATTTTGAATTTAATTTTTATTGAAAACTATTTTAATCTAAACTAAATTTAAGTCCAATAAAAGTCAGCATTTGTCTATTGAAGCCGTCAGTAGACATGAACCTCACTGAACTCTCTATAAATTAGAAAGTTGCATTCACTAATCCTAATATTTTTCTGTACCATAAAAGTTACTAAAGAACAAATGTCGAGTTATACCCCATGCAACAATATACTGACAAAATAGCTCATCTACTTCTGTTAACATAACCTAATTTTCTTCGAAACTTATAACTTCTAGAAAAAGTTTTATTGGCACCAATTGCACAATTATACCAATGAAGTGAAAAAGATTCGAAGTGTTTATTTATTTTATATGTGTGAATTTATAAAAAAGAACATTGATTTTAATAGCTAGAAAGGAAATTTGTGGGTTTGTGGGGTATATTATATTATTTAACTAAAATATTTAGTCGATTAGTTCGCCTGAAACAATTATGGTTATTTTAGTGGCATTAACCAACTAAATACACTTCATTAGGCACATATTATACACATATATAGCTTTAGATTTATGTATATTAAGAGCATAATATCACATATATAATAATTTTATGATACGCATTTGAATACATACATATTAACATATATCAAATTTTATTAACCACACTCTACAAAAAGTCTGCTGGCTTGGGTAATACAGATCCAATTAATACCAACCATGCCAATCGTACGGTTTATTATACTGGTTCAGAGGCCAACATAGTCAAAACATTTTGTCAAGTGCGTAATTGCCACCTGCGTGTGGAACCATGTAAGTGGACATTGATTTAATTAAATTACTTAGTTACAATCATAAATGTTTTGCTTGTATGTATGCGTATGTGTGTGTGTGTGGCTTTGTGTTAATTACACAGATTGATAACATTACGAACACCAAGGTTATGACCACAATTGACTTTTTCTTAATAGATGGTGTTGACGACTGGGGAGCTATATATGATAATGAGACAGCCACTGGTAATTTAGGTGGCATATATGCACAACATATTGAATTAGCAATTGGTTGCTTTTACAATTGGTATAATAACATCACAGAAACTTCAGGCACAATAGCGCGATCTGCAGTAACATTATTAGGACCCGCACCTGCGTAAGTACACAGTAGCTTTAGATAGTAACTTAAAGGTACTATCAAATTTTAATAATTGTTTTATATTTAGTTTACATCCAGCTTGGCGTACGAATATAATGCCTTTTAGCAATAAACTCTGGGTGTTCCTTTTGTGCACACTCAGTCTTTGTAGTTTTCTCATGTATTTTATAAAGTTTTCAAATCATTCTTTCAAGCACTCAAAGAATAGAGTGTTTAGACATATGAATGTACTCGAACATTCTGTATTGAATATCTTTGCAATATTTATACAGCAACCTTATGCACATACTGGGTGAGCTTATCATAATTTAAGTAAAAATAATGGTCAGAAATGCATTAACTCTGCTCTATTTTTTCAGTTTGCACTATATTTCTATACGTGTCTTTCTAACAGTTTTATTGTGTGCTGCACTGACATTAGAAAATATTTACAGTGGTCAGTTAAAATCAATACTGACTATACCATTTTACTCTGAACCTATTGATACTACATATAAGTGGTCCCAAATCAACTGGAAATGGGCAGCACCAGCTGTGATATGGGTAAAAACAATCGAAAACTCTGATTTAGTAAAGGAACAAGTTTTAACTAAAAATTTCGAAACTCAAAACTATGATTTTCTATACAACGCCAGCTTTCGTAATGATTACGGCATAGGCATTGAACGTTTAATGAGTGGTTCATTCAGCTTTAGTGACTTTCTTACAACCGCAGCACTAGATAATAAAATTGTAAGATTACTTACTCGTATATCATAATTATATATTAGTCAAATACTAATTAATTATTTTATAAATTTTATTATTTTAATTATTTTCATTCACTAAATTAATTTGAATAAACTTACAGGTACTGAAGGATGATCTCTATTTTGACTGGACAAGAGCTATAAGTATAAGAGGCTGGCCTTTAATGCCGCTTTTTAACGAACACATACTCATTTGTATAGAAACTGGGCTTTTCATACATTGGGAAAAAGAAGTAAGTGAAGCGAGTAAGTGAAGAAGTTATCTGTATAGTAAATATATATTTTTTAGGCTGCTGAACAATATCTTAATCGACAGGTACAAGACATGATGTTTAAATTAGCTTCAGGGCATATAAACAAAGTTCCTCCTCGTAAATTAACTGTGGAAAATATATCGGCAGCATTATTCGCTTTAGGATTTGGTTATTTAATTGCGGCAATTGTTTTGTTATTGGAGATTTTTACTTCAAAACTAACTCAAAGTTCCAATGAGATAAAGAAAAAAGCTACTTTAAAACGAAAGCAAAGAATGTTGAACAAAAACCTACAGAGCTAACTTAAGAATACGACGCATATACTATAATTACAATCAATCAAATGAATTAATCATTTATTTTGTTAGCAGTAAAGTTAATAAATATTGAATACATAATACAATAAATTTTTATTATTGCATTAAAGAAATTTTGTATAAGCATAAAAAATATACTCGAAAACTATCCGACCAATTTTAAAAAAGTTTTTATGGAATACTACTAGAGTAAAAAATAAACTTATGGATTTTAAACCCTAGTACTATATAATGAATCCAGAATTAATCTAGAAATAAGCAGAACACCAGAACTGCGCAGTGAGGAAATTAGAATTGATATCCTTCTGTCCTTTTAGCAGTTTTATTTTTTTTGTTGTAAGTTTATTAATATACTTTCATAAAGAGATTTTTTGAAAAGTAGTGAACTACAACAAAAATTCTTTTTATATTATTTTAATTAATTGAATTTTTAGCTGTTTCGAGTTTTGCTAAATACCCTTCATCAGTGCTCTTAGAAATAATTCTTATATTTAATTATTCGCAAATAATTTTTTTTGAGACTACATTTACTAGAAATCGTACTGATGCCCTGCCGAATTTGAAGCTGAGAGTCAGTGCACCTTAACCAACTGACACAAAGTCGTATTTGACTTTTAAACTCCATTTTTCTGGAGTTTTGTTAATTTGGCGTGAAAGTTTTATTAACAAATTCACTCGCTGTGTTTATATTAGAACGAAATCTTACACCAGCTGTAAAATAATTGAATTAATTAATTATATTTTTTTATTTTTAGTTGTTAAATTTCAATACTATTCTGTTTGTAGAGATATTATTTGTTGCCTGATTTATCTATTCATTCTTATGTATAGAACCTAATCTACGAACGTAATACTTTTGATATTATCAATACTGAAATATTTGACATTATATTTATTTTCAAAAAAAAAAAATTTAATATATATATTTGATATAAAAAAATAATATATAATTTTTATGACCATATCGTTACAAAAATTAAGGAGATTTAATTATTTATAATCCTATACTGAGTTAAGTGCATTGATATTTGATTGACATAGTTTGTTTTTCAAAAAGTAATGTTATAAATTATTTTCCAATTTCACAATTAATTATTCTGTGTGTGATAACAATTATTTTCTCCTAAAATTTGTTGCAATTCAGCTTTGATGTATGTACTTTAGTTCTTTGATTTGTTAATCCCAAATGGAAGGAGTAGTAATTGCAACATTTTGCACCTTAACTGTTTCGTAAACTAATTAATTACAAAATTACAATTCTAAATGAACATCCATAAATTTATCACATAAATAATGGTATATACTTTAGTCAAAATAAGGATGTTCAAATTGTATTTCAAGAACATCTAAAAACTTTTTAGGGATTTTTTAGACTTTTAGAATTTTTAAAAAAATTATTTACCAATTTAACACCTGATGCATTTGTAAGATTTAAAGACAACTTAGGTATGACTAGAAAATATTTTTTATTAAAACAAATTACATGAATTCGCCCAACAGCCGGTATTGCGGTCAAAAGAGTCCTATTATACTAAATTCATTTTTAATTACACAAAGCCCTATAAAGCTTTGTGTACAAAGTCCAGAACTAAATCTTTAAAAGAGCTTTTAATCTGTACTGATGACAGAAATTTCCACATGAAACAAATTTCTTCCATGCGCTGCTAAAACTAGACGATCAGAAAGAATATGCATACTTATCTGCTTATCTTATAGACATAGTCTGCACTCTGGATTAGCAGATAATTGATGTTTACGTAAGTGATATTACTTAAGTAAATTAACTAAGTATTTATTCATATCTGATAATGAGGGTGTCTTCTGCAAATATTGTTTACCAATTTTAAATATTTTTTTAGAAACCTTAAATTACCTAAGTATTTATTAATATTTCATAATGAGGACGTCTTCTTTTAGTTACTTAATTACATATACTTTACAGATCATCTAACTGCAAGTACTGTTTACTAATTTTAAATATTTGTTTTTGTAATTTTTTTTCTGAATTCAACTTTTTTCAATGACTCACTGTAACATACCCGACACGGGTCCACAGTATTTTTTTAATTAAACTTAAGTTAATCTTAAGCCAAACTTCATATTTAACGTAAAACTGTTTGAATTCAAGTTTTTTTTTATAATTTTTATTTTAGTTAAATATTAAACTTTTAATTTTGGTCTTAAATTATCTTTCATAAGGTATTGAATCTTTAAATTGTATCTTTGCATGCCATTAAATCCATCGCGTGCTGCCCAAATATTCATTATACCAGTACATTCAGAGAATTAAAAATGTTGAAAACGCTCTATAACAACTTCAACATCAGTATATCAATATTAAGTACACAAATCTAAATACATACTTTGTGCAATAGTAATGTAAGTTAAATTCCAATGAAAGTCAAACTAGAACATTTAAAGTTCAATCAACAATTTGACCTAAAGTTGACACAAGGGAGCAGGACTACTGCACAGAATGAACATACTAAAACAATCATTGACCAATGACCATTACGAGTGCATTTAAAAGTTATTGATGAAAATGAAAACAATTCAATTTACCGACAAAGAAAATAGTACCAGCAATGGCAAAATATTATCAAAGTGGGGGAAATGAAAGTCAAAATGATTTTGTCAATGTAAAATGCAGGCATTAAATTGAAGTACAGATTAAATGGATTTCTCACAATAAAACTAGCATTCCAAAATGGAGTTCAACACATCAAGTTACCCGAGACAGTCAAGTCATTGGGGAAGGTTGACTCTAATATAAATGGAAATCAGAGAAAATAACAATAATACTCGTCACAACGACCAACGGTGTAATATCGTTTGTAATTTTGGTTTAACTTTTGGTTAACAATAAAAGAAACTATTAAACTTCTAAAATGCAGAATATATTCATAACAAATACGATTAATACGAACAATTCAACAATTGAATGCTTTGAGTCCTGCTCTTCAATGCGGAATTCCAAATGTCAAAACTTCACAATCAATCTCCGTACAAAATTCAAAGGTTAAATGGCTTATAATTTTATTAAATATTTGTTACGATAACTATAACTAGGAAAACCAACAAAGTTTCAAACCCCAACTTGTTGGGCACTCAATGCAAATTATTTTCCTATAAACAACATTGAACTATACAAATTTGCTGACAACATTGAAATTTATTTTATTTTTAATTTAATTTGAATTTAATTTGAGTTCTCCAAATAGTTTCACTCCTAGTGCAGGACTATTCTGCCAATATAATCGCATCTGGGTGTACAGTTTTGCAAAGCTTTTAAATAAATTAGTAATAAAGTGGAAGATTGTTTTAAATGCTGACATGCCTGGCAACTTTGCCTTTAAATTGGCTGCATGCTCTACAGGACAACCACACGCATGTAAGCCAACATGCCACAAATTCCTTGCGTAAAGCCACATACACAGCCACACTCAAACAGTCCATTTTTTTTGTTTGCTCTCAGTTGCAACTGCAATATGCACAGATTTTGAAACTGAAATTCTTGCACTCACACACACTAACAAATAACAAACAAGGATGAAGAAATTGCTGCTGGCCAGTGCAAGTTCATTTTATACGCAAACTACTAACAAGCCAACAACACACAATCGAAGGAACCACAGTAATTCCCTAGCATAATCATAGTTTGGTCAAAAATTGGTCGACCGAAGTCTTTAGGCGCACACGTGTGTGCACAACAGGAATCGGTTAAATTTTTATTTCACCAGTGACTTTCTTTATTCCTTGTTTTTCCTTTCACTACGAGTAGTAATTTGTTGAAATGTAGAAATGTGAAATTTAATTAGTGGTACGCTATGTAAGGTGAATTAATGGATTATTTGGAATTAAGGAATGTACAAGGTTATCCAAGTAAAATTTTAGTGCTATATATTGCACTACGTAGTAAATTAAAAGCACTAAAATTTTAAAACCAAAGTTGTAAGCTTTTATTATCAAATAACAATAAGTTTAAGCAAAACGAATACGAGAGTCATTCAGTTTAAGCAAAAAATATCTAAACAAAGCTTTTAATAATTTTAAAAATAAAAATTTTCTATTAATTGTGTAGCTTAAATTTTTTTTTAAACTTTAAACTTGATATAACAATTCATGCCCTATATAGTTACTTTGAAGACTAGAATTATTATTGACATATCCACTTAGACCCATACTCTCGCAAAAATGCACAAGCACTAATATATCAAAGGGCAATGTCGCTGCTTCATTTCCAAAGATAATAGACGTCAAAATTTGCTATACTAACTACTGAATTTCACGTTTCCTTACACATAAGAAAATAAATTATTGTTAATAGTTCTGTTATGGGTATCATTCCTATTTATTTAATTTTTGCACAAATACGACCACTATACACTATAAGCAATGAACTGTTTAGGTCTCATCGGCAGCCCAATAGTTGCCTTTGGGTCTATCATACTGAAAGTATGATAATTTTTTTTTTTAATAATAAAAGTGATCAAAATTGCGATTGAGATCTATTGAGATAAAAATACATTTCATGGAGTAACGTTCTTACATTCTTAATTTTGAAACAAATAGTATGCATAAACAGTGAATTTTCGAGGTCTCATAAGTAACTAATGGGTCGTCTTCGGATCTGCAATACTTAAAAAAATTTAAATTTTTATTCGAAACAAAGCTATTGAGTCAAACCTCAAAGCATAGTAATCTTATTGTATTTATTTTTAAAAAGTACTATCCAATCACACCCAACAATCCATAAACAGCACTTAACAGTCATCTTTTCAAATCTCATCTGTAGCTGATGGGTCACCTTTGGATTTGCAATTCTTAAAAAGTGACAATTATTTTATTAACAAATCTATTGAGAAAAAATACGTTTTGTATGGTAATATTCTGATCTGCTTAATTTTTAAACCAGTACGATTCAATCAAGCCACCCACCAGCAGTAAACAGTGAGTTTTCCAAGTCTCGTTGGTAGGTAATAGGT